GACTCGACGTCGCCGGGCTGACTCGGCTCGGTAGTGGACCATATCATTCCCACCCACACCAGGCAAGTGTGCAAACCCCAATCCCTCACCTTACAGCCACACTCTTTCGATCCACATGCACCAAAATCCGGCTTTATCCCCGCATCGAAGCAAAGAGACAGCGGCTGAAGAAGCCTCATCACGTGAGATTCGACGTTCATGTGTGCTTCAGTGATTCGGTGTGCTGTTGGTAGAACCTGCAGGTTTCGTCGAAGTAGCATCCCAGCCACAGAACTGTAAGCAGGGAACTAGTTTAATCACCCAGTCTAATGATTAACCTGCAAACTAACCCTTTATCGATCTTCACCAGCTCTTTCCTATCTACATTTATCCCCATTACAATAGCGACGGACAGCAAGCAGTCAGCGATAATCTTCTGGGGCGGGAAAGGGCGTGTAACCAGCTCTATAGTCACTTCGACAGCCCTTTGTCTCATCGAGGTATCCCCAGTTAGATCGGAGAGCAGGTGTGGTAGGAGATGCAGTACCCATGTGCGACAGGCGTCCGGAACTCGGGGGAATTGATTATGTTGCCAACCGAATAGAAGGAAACCTATGTCGCAGACAAGCGCTGTGCTCTGGTCGGAGCAGTCGCGCTTAAGGCAAGCAAAGAAGCAAGCTAGACGAAAATCTCGACGAGAATTCCAGAATCCACGATTCGATTTGGATTCGAGGTATAACCTACTGCAGCACAGATGCACCAGTGCTTTACCAAAAGCAAGCGCGCGTTCTTGCCCCAAAGACGCAAGCCGCCATTCCTCGGCGGTGTTCGTAACGGATACGAAGCACCCTATGAAGGCATCGTACAGCTGCAGATATGCAGGCGAAATATCGACTTCAGCTGGCCATTCGACGTCGGGTACCATCCTGGCTGCTGTCGCAATGACCTCCGGGTCAGTGGATGTCTCGATAAGCCATACTATTGCTGGAGCTTCGAGTTTATCAGCGGAAGGGAAATGGATATCCAGTTTCAACGGGGTCTGTGGAAGAGGCACTGATGTTGCCGAGGATTCTGGGTCCGTTAAACCGGAATCGGCTGGTGCCCCACGGTGTGTTACCGCCCTCCAGAAGATCCTGACCTGAGGAACGGTTTGATGGGCAAGAAAGCGTCGAAAACATCGAAAACATTCATACACAAGGAGGGCCGGTAGCAAGGCGACGGCAGCTGCAACCTCTCCCTTTCCCCAGGCGCCCTCCGCGTCCTCGTCGAAGTAATAATAGTGTAGAGGTCTCCTGAATGCTTCTCGAAACATTATGAATATGGTTGACGCAGGGGTTCGGAAGGGGCAATCGTGCGAGATCAACGACGCGACTGTGATGGAAATGTAGAACAGGATGCCGAGTGTCGTGGTTCCGATCACAACAGCGCCAATAGTCGATTGCTGAGTCCACACAAACGCGGAAAGGGCAACACCAAACAAAAGGAGCGAAATCTGCAACAAAACGGGAAGCACTTCTAGCACAGCATGGAAATGCCATGCTTCGAGCCCGTTGAGCTTCTGCTGTCGGCGTATGGCCCGCTCCTCAGCTCCCCCGGTTCCGCGGCGGCGGTAATGCCCCAACCACTGTTTGCCTAGCACAGCACCCAACGCAGCGAGAAGGCTCGCACCAAGACTCGCGTATATGAGGGACTGTATCCAGATCACGGTCGAACATGGACCATTCCAGGCGGGAGGATCGAGGTTCTGGCCAGCGAAAGCGGTGGAGTTGACCGTATGGATCAACTGCATTAGAAGGACGTTTGTGGTAGCAGTCGGATCGGCACTGAGGCTTGACTGCATAGAAGTGATGAAGGTGGTGCTGACGGCGGAAAAGAGACCAGACTTAAATCGGGTTTAAGTTCCAGTCTCGGGGAGTCACTGGTAAAACGCTCACGAAAATCAGGACGATGTCCATGTCGTCCTTGTACTTCTCAAGGAATTCCGAGTCATAATCTTCTGCCTCGCGTTTGTACGTCGCCCAGAAACGGGACTTCGTATCGTTCCCGCTCTGCTGGGCAATCGAGGATCCCTTGAGGGTTTGGAGTATTTGTTCCAGGAGCTGGTGCGACCTGGACGACAATATGAGTGCAAGGAGAGAAGATGCGCTTTTCTCTTACTGAGTGTCCGTCCCGATTCCTGACTGTCCACTTTCCGCATGTTGGCGGTTGCTAGAGTCCGAAGCTTGGTGGCCTGTTTGAGCTGGGGGGCCAGCATCTTCCGTGATGACTGCCATGGGTGAGAAACTGGGGCCCTGCCATCGACATGCAGGCAATATATATTGTACACGCGCTGAGCGCCAGCGCTATTAGGAACATCAGAAGGGGCCTTTGGATGCGCGCCTATCAGGGCGAGCCGTAGAAACGAACATGGCACATGGATGGCCAGTGGGAACCAGCGATGGAATGATACCATACCAGGGAGTCCATAGTAAGCATACTGGTAGCTGGCAGCGAACTCTGACCAGGTTCACCTACTTATTCACTGTTATTTGAGAATGTCCGAGTCACCGCGCGCATGCTTCCTTTGCGAAATTTTACTAGCCACACCTTCAGTTTCCAAGAGGCTCCTGAGCTGCTGTGAAGAGGACCTACTAATTTATTAATAAATACGGCTCGTCCCTGGCTGCAAAGGATCTACGGGTCTACGACTAGCTGAGACGATATTCTTCGTCGCATGGATCGTCTGCTACCACACCCAACGCATAAAATGTGAACGGGCACGAACTTGGGTACTGATTACGTGAGTGCTCAAACGCTCAGGACAACGAAGGGCTAAACGCCATCGCAGGAAATGAAAGCGCGTTCGGCTCGATTACTACGGGGTTGAATTCGAGCACTGCGGACTGTACAGTTCGACTACCGCAGGTTGTACAGTAGTACAAATCTACTTGCGCCCGGCTCTCCACTTGCCAGTCGTCGATAACGCGTGCTTGCCTGCAAATACCGTCGGAAGCGCGAGAACTGCACCATAAAGCAAGACCTGCCCGAGCTTAAGGTCGACCCAGTACCAGAAGAGCAGGGCCTCGAAGGCGCCGAGGAGGGCGGTAAACGGAACGATGCTCGGTGCAAAGAGGTGCGGGACGCTGATGCCCACTTTGCCCCACTGTGCGGAAATGGGAAAACGACGGGTTCAGGAAACGAGAATGAAGGCTAGCAGAAAGAAAAGAGGACTCACGAGGCCGAGCAACACGGCCCATGGCGCGAGGACAGCACCTGCGAACAAGGCTGAGACGGCTTTCGGGGGGAGCGATTGCGCGGGACGGAAAGTGTGCTGGATGGCGGGGCGCGGACTGAACATAGCTGCGTCTGCGTGCGTGGGGGCAGGTTGAGAGGCGGGGATGTAGAGGTCGAAGAGGTCGTATTTGGCGGGGTCGTGAACAAATGAGCCAAGGATGAGGGAGACCTCGAGGGGGGCGGAGGAGGTTGGGGGGATAGACGCGGGGGGACGGGCCATGTTCTGTAGCAAGGCAGGGTTAGTGCGACCCGTGCATGAGTGGTCTCGTCAGGAGGACATACGAGTTCGAATTTTGCTTTCCCGCCGGGGGTCACGCGGACGGGCTGAATACCTTCCTCACCCGACACCGCGTCGTAGAAACGGAGGAAGGTCTGGTGGGGCTGGACACCTTTCCCATCTTCGCCGTCCGTTGTTATTTGGAAAGTGAGTTTGAGGGTATCGGTGGGCGAGAGTGTCAATGGCTCTGGCTTTTTGGTAAGGGAAAGCCTCGTGGGGGGTCAGTACTGCGCTGGAGATTGAAACTGAAGTTTGGGGACGTACGTGTCTGAACGAAGCTGTTTTGCGTCGGCGGCGCTGATTGTGAAACGAGGAGACTGGACGGACAAGGTCGCTGCATGAGCTGACGCTGCAAGCAGCAGCCAGGATAATAGGAATATCATCGTTGTCACGGTCGAGTCTTGCTCTGAACACTGAACGTGGTTGTTGTGGCTGGAAATGGTCGACGTGGCGGCGTGTGCTAAAAGTAGATACTTGCGCTTTGCAGTGATCTGTGGCGTCAAATCCTTCCTTTCCTCCCTTGATCAACATCCAAATTGCACACTGAACGAATCATCAAGTGGCAGGAAGAAATCGAGAGGCTGATGAATGCCAGTACAGCATGCATCGGAACCTCGATTTCTTCACCCCATTCCATTTCCTTACTTGCCAGTTGCCATGTCGCATGAGGTTCGTGGAGGCTCTACTCGAAAGTCTGCTAGAAACCTAGGCGTTTCCCTCGTGCCACACCCACGACTCGCCGTAATGGCCGCTCGCACAATGCAATGGTCCTGCCATGGCTGAGTGTCGCTTACAATATACACTGTGATCGGGCTCATAGTCTACCTTCCGCGGGTTTCCGTCACTTTGGTAGATAGGTGAGTGGCTCATGTCGATTGTGGCCCTGAGCATTTTAGTGTTTTATCTGCGTGTGGTCTGGCCAATTTGACTACACATCCAGGGGCCGCTATGTATGCTGTCCTCATCACGACCGAAGTGCACCGCAAACGAGCTTGGACACAGATCACCCGGGAATTCGGGGGTCGCTGAGGTCAATCATCGAGCTGAGACATGACTCCATCTTGCGGTGATCTCTGAGAGGTTATGCAGGTCACGTCCGTTCATGTTATGGCCCTTCAGTGTGAATTAAGAGTTGTACGTGTATGGGATATGTCCAGGCGCGCCGTATGGTGTTCTGCTGTACTCTCAGGACGAGGAGCTTCTACCCCAGTAAGCCAGTAAGGCTATTATTTCAAGATGTGTCATCTTGCAACCGGGAATGCACTGACGTGATCCTCCCCAAGCTCACTAAGCAACCACATGAAATGGACACATCGTACACTTGAAGCAAGGTCGAGTCTCAAACAAGATCGGAACATTCTGCATAGTTCATTCACAACGCCTCCAATTAATCAGAAAACAATACACTCTGCTCTCGGGGGTGGGGGAACAGGGGCTGGAGGGAGCAAAAAGGAGGAATAATGCAAAAGAGAGTCCCTACCGTGGTTCGAACACGGGACCACACGATATCATCGCATAAGCATTGAGCTTAAGTAATTGCAATCGTGTGCTCTACCACTGAGCTATAGTGACTCGATATCTCTCGGTGGAGACGTTCCTATATGTGCTGTACCCGACCGCCCTCCAAAAGTAAACACTCAAGTTAGTGCTGCCTCACTGGCCACAGTAAATTCTACAAAAAGAAAAAGGAGAAAAAAAAAAGCATCACAGACCTCCGTATTATGCTCTAAATCCCTGGATGCTATTTCAGACTATGTAGTAAAGCGTTATCTTCTCGTACAAAGGACGACTACACTTTCAACTGCCAAGTGGCTGGGGCGATGTGTTATTACCTAAGGCCACGGACTTCTAAAACGCGTTTGGCCTCTCAGAGCAGCAGTGAATAGTGAACGCGTCACCCGTGTATCGACCTTCCTTCTGCCCACCATGCCCGACGTAGAAATGAAGCCAGCAGCGGAAAAGAAGGCAGAAGAGAAGAAAGATGACAAGAAGGACGAAAAGAAAGAGGAGGCAAAACCCGCTCCGCCACCCCCACCAGCAGCAGAGATCAAGTCCAATATCGCACTCATAGAAAGAGCGGTCACCGACCTCGAACCCCGCTTTACTCACCGCGTCCTTCGCACTCTGACTGCGCTGCGGAAGCGCATAGACGGAAAAGTCCTCCGGGATGCCATTGAGGAGAACTACCCCACAGGTCGGCAATTGGGTTCATGATCGTAGTATCGCTGGCTGAACTTGTGTTCAAGATTCATCCGTCAAGGCTACGCTACTTTCGTGGCTGCCTCCTGCCTCTGCGATAGATCACTCGATGGACGTGGATGCGGCCGCCACTGGTGGCTCCGCCCCTGCACCTCCCCCAACTGTTGACCCGGTTCCAGAGGCAGAAGTATACCTCCGCCTGCTCATCCTTCACTATCTTCACACGTCAAAGGAAACTTATGCCAAGTCTATCAAATTATCGCACGAGACCGTCGAGAAAATGCAGGCTATGAACCGTCGGAGCATGGATCCCATCGCCGCCAAAGTGTGGTTTGCTGTCGAGAGATCATACGAACTCGGTGGGGAACTCGCGGACGCAAGACCGTACGTATTTGTCATCTGGAGACCAGCTGGCGCCGCCTTATGCACACCTATCTAGGATTTTCCTTGCCGCCCAACGCACCGCTTCCTTGCGCCATGACGATGATACCCAAGCGTCCCTGATCAACCGCCTCCTGCGCAGTTACCTCCACTATAGCCTCTACGATCAAGCAGACAAACTTGTTTCCAAAACTACCTTCCCAGCATCGGCGGGAAACCCGCAGTTTGCCCGTTACCACTACTTCCTCGGCCGTGTCAAAGCTGTACAACTCAATTACACCGCGGCGCACACCAACCTCCAACAAGCAATCAGACGTGCACCGCAGGCGAAGACTGCTCCCGGGTTCTATCAGGCCGTACACAAGCTTTTCGTAATCGTAGAGCTACTAATGGGCGACATCCCTGATAGGAGCACATTCAGACATCCTGTGCTCGAGAAGGCACTGAGTGCCTATTTCGACATCGTCAAGGGCAAGTGCTTTTCCCGCACTAGCTCCCAGGCTCGTACGTGTACTTACGCTTGCGTCTCCGACAGCTGTGCGCACCGGGTCGCTTTCAGAGTTCCAATCCACCCTGAACAAGCACGCGGCGCAGTTCGAAGCGGACAAGACTTACACCCTGATCGTCCGCCTCCGCCAAAACGTGATCAAGACTGGGATCCGCCGGCTCTCCCTCTCCTATTCGCGCATCTCGCTGCGCGATATCTGCATGAAGCTGCACCTGGACTCGGAGGAGGACGCGGAGTACATCGTCGGCAAGGCCATCCGCGACGGCGTCATCGAGGGCCGCATCGTGCACGAGAAGGGTTGGATGGAGTGTGGGAGCCAGAAGAACGGGTATGGGCCCGAGGTCAGCGAGGTGTTCTCGCGGCGGATTGGCTTCTGTATGGACTTGCATAATCAGAGCGTCAAGGTCAGCGCTTGGTTCTTATCATGATTCTTGTCTTTTATGCCCCCCTTTGATGATGGTGCTGACGGTGGTAAACCTCTCTTTCAGGCGATGCGGTACCCGCTGAACGCACACAGGAAGGAGCTGGCTGCTGCTGAGATTGCCCGTGAGCGCGAGAAGGAGCTCGCGAAAGAGATACAGGAGGGTGACTTGGATGACGACGATGGCCCAGGAGGGCTTGGGGAGGGGTTCTAGTTACTCACAAGCGTACATAATTGCAACCCGCTGCTCTGTGGAAGCCGATCTGGCGAGTTGTGCGGAAGAAATTGTCAGGTCACCGGCGGTCATGAAAACTTGAGTGTCCGAAATTGGCAACTTGAGTCCCTCGACCCAAACACTTCCGATGATCGAGTTTAAGTTTCCCTCCACCACAACTCAAGCATATCAGAACTAGGGTTTCGATGTCTTTGTTGAAGCGCCTGTGGCAGCGTGTGGCTCGACCGGTATGCATACACGACCAGCGCTCTTACCCTCGATCCTGGACTGACCATCAATCACAGACCTATTTTGTGGGTAGGGATCTGGAGGGTAGGTTGACGCGCTCAATCTCTTCGTTCTTTCGTATGGTTTAACATGCGCCAATTATAGGAAACAAATATTTCGAGTTTCCAGGAACCTCAAATGGTGGGGCGCTTCTGTAGCTGTCCGTCTGATATTACTAGGCGCTGATCCGTGACCGGCAGACTTCGGGCGTACGAAACGCACCGTCAAATACAGGCGAAACGAGGATATGTGGGCGTATGTCGCGAATGGGAAGAGGCTACCAGGTACACCCATACATCGCTCACGGTGCGATGCATCCTGCTGTCCATTTCTGACCTGGTGTCTTTCTGTCCGCAGTCCAGTGGTCAGCGTGGCTGACACACACCAGACCTAACGTGCCGACCATTCAGGTGTGTTTCATGGCATGTTGCATGTACGATGTGATCTGACGTGTTGCTGTGCCCCGTGCTTGAGAGCAGGAGCTCCAGGCGGACGTTGCGCGTCAGCAGCGTGTCCGGATGAACGCGGCAATACTAGAAGCGAGGGACCAGGAGGAGCGCGCGAGGGTTGCTCGCATTGATGCTGCTCCGATATCACCCTCGCACTCTTCAGAATCGTATATCGAGAGCACGGAGGTTCGATCGCACCCGTCGCTCGCCCCGGAGGCTACTAGCATACCGCCTCCACGGGAGCCCACTTCAAAGGCGCCTGACCCTTGGTCTAAGAACCGCACAGCATCTGATGAGCCGGAGGCATGGGCTCCGCGTGCCCGTCGTAGGGACGATCAATGATATGCGGTTGGACTTTGTTATTCCATCTATTTATCAGCGGCTTTCGAAATCTGAGCTCTGCGTGCAGGTTTCTGCATCTTTCCTGGATCTGCAGACCACGAGGGATATAGCGGCATGATCTAATTCCGACGACAGTGGCGGAATTTCCTCAACGACCTCGACCTTGCAATTATGCAACTGCTCAGTGAGGGTTGGCAGTGGGTCCTCCGAGCCCCCTCGGTTTCAAGCCAGCTGGGCCTTGTCAGGCTAATGCACGTACCACGTTCAAGCAATTCTTTGCACCGCACATCCTTACAAATAATTGCACGGCTTGAACATTGACATGAATCTGAGAAGAACGTCTGCTTTCCTTCATCAAGTTATGTATATAAAATTATAAATAAATAATCTAGATAGACAGTTAGCCAAGATCGGGTCAGAAGTCTTTCCTCCCCGGCGCCCGCTCTCACGCGAGCGCTTGTGATCAGCAGATAGCGTCAGCAGCCATCTCAGCCTATCTATGTACTGAGTTCCACAGCATCATGGTCTCATTGTCCTCGGGACTTCAAGCCTTATAATTATTCCAAATGCCCACGACGGGCGCCAAAATAATGGATCAGGCCTGGCGTCACTGTACTATGTTTGGCCGGGGACCTGTCTCCTTGTCGAAATTTTTTGCTGGACAGCAGGAAAATTTGTGAGCCATACGACGAGGAAGGACCACAGGAATCCGAGCTCGAACCCATGGATCGACCGTCCTTCGAATGGTGGCCGAGAATTGTCAGGTTCCTCAACAGCATCGCGTCGCGGTTTACCAATCGAACCGCTATCATTTGGACACTATTCCGGCGTTTCCTGCAGATTGGAAGTGTGCTCGGCGGACCGCGTCAACGCAAACCGTCCAGTGGTCGGTCCTGCAACAATGGCTCATATTATTCTATCTCCGAGTCGATCAAATTTCTTCCACCAGGGCCTTTATCTACGTCACACTCTGCAGATCCTCTTAACGGTCATATCATCTGTCCTAGCGCGCAGCCTCAGACCTATCGGGATATCCTTACGAGTCCAAGTGCTAGCCCCGAAACCTCGCAACATCAGTCAACAGGAACGTTCGCCAGCGTCGAAACTCATGATCCCCTATTCTTTTCCGCAGAACCATCAGGACCAGCCACATATCCATCTCCTGCGCTTTCCACTACGGCGGCACCTTTATCCTCGAATGCTGTTCCCAACGCTGAATCTCATCAACCATGCGACCCGCTACAACGGCCTTCCACGGACCAGCCTACACGGGTCGCAAATCCAACTGACTTTCCCGCGTTGCCTCCGAAATATGCTGGAACCAGTGAAATGTCCACCGCACAAGTGATTAGGTATGACAGAAACATCACAATGTACGCGGTACTAGCTATCACCAGCTATCCAATGTTGAATATATGTGGGCATAGACCAACGCCTAATTTAAACACTACCATCCCAGCGATGACCGTGAGGCGCGCAGAGTAAGACCTCTTGTATCATGCGCGAGATGATAGAGGCTGATTGTCTCGTAGGAAACCCGCGCCCGAAGGGTGGACTGTCTTTGTACACCCTGAAGGTGCTTTGTATTACTACCACAAAGCGCTGGTGAGCGAATAATCCTCATTAGTACCCTGGCACAGAGTTGATTCAGTGTTAAACAGAAAGTATACACGGATATGGATCTACTAAGCTTGGATTGTTCGGCAAAAGACTTAGAGGAGTCCGCGGAATACCTTTACGAGGCCCTGCGCAAGACCGAGAACTGTCCGC